GTGCCTGTAGTCCCAGCTACTTGGGAGGCTGAGGCAAGAGAATCACTTAAACCCAAGAGTTTGAGGTTGCTGTGAGCTGTGATGCCACAGTACTCTACGTAGTGAGACTCTGTCTCAGAAGAAAAAAAAATGTTTTGATCCAGGAGCTCATTTTATGAGAGGTAGGATGACATGGTTTCAAATCCTCGTTCAGCCACCTACCAGATGATATCCCTTTTGTTTAGTTTTCTCATCTATGTGGGGGAGATAATCTCTCAACTTGGTTGTAAGAAGTACATAAATGAGTTAAGGCCTGGATGCCCCTTTCCTAAAAAGGAAGAAGTAGGCTAGAGAAGTTAGGTCCTTCACGTGACACTACACAGCTAGAGTGGCAAACCTAGATACTGTCTTGTCAATTGATAAAGAACTAAGGCTCATATTCAAAGTACTGTCGCAACACCAATTGTGTAAATACTGAAATATTTCCAGACTGGTTGGTATATTGCTGCTATGCAAGTACTCCTTTTGTACACTTTGGACTGTCCCACCCCAGATGTCCCCACAGTACAGCAACTACAGGGTTAAAGCCTAGTGTAAGCCCCTGGTCCACTCTCAGTTCAGATTGGTGCCCATGCAGCTGTACCTACTGCTAAGTATTTAGAACGTCCTCTCCCTACCCATTGAATAAGGACCAGAAGGCAGCCTTGTTGCCCAGAAGGGGAAGTTAAGACCAACAGAGGGGCAGGGCTTACAGTCAAGGCCCTATAGATAGTCAGGGACAGAGCTGAAGCCATCTTTGCCTGACCTCCAGCACTGAGCACACAGTTGGGCTTGCGCTGGGGATGGTAGCTATGTAAAAATTTATTGAGTCACTGCAGGCCTTTCCTTTCCCTGTCCAGCATCCCTCTCTACTTGCCAACATCCTGTATTAGAGAACTTTGGCTGGAGGTGTGGTTGTGGAGAGCCGGCTGGGGAGGGACGCTGCTCAGCTGCTGCTCTGCTCCTGTCTCCTGTCCTCTCCCCTGGCCATGACAGAGACCCGTGAGCCAGCTGAGACTGGAGGCTATGCCAGCTTGGAAGAAGACGATGAAGACCTCTCTCCAGGTGAGATAGCCTTAGAGGCTGTGGTGTTGGCTTGACTGTAATCCTGGTTTGGGGTTTGGCCTCCACTGGGAAGTGTTGATGGGGAGGGGCTCCTTGTCTTGCTAGGGGATTCCTTCCCACTGGAACTTCTGTGGATTCTAGGTTGAGATGGGGAGGGGCTCCTTGTCTTGCTAGAGGTTTTCTTCGGACTGGGGCTCCTTGTCCTGCTAGGGCATTCCTTCCCACTGGAACTGCTGTGGATTCTAGGTTGAGATGGGGAAGGGCTCCTAGTCTTGCTAGAGGTTTTCTTCGGACTGGGACTCCTTGTCCTGCTAGGGGATTCCTTCCCACTG